TAAACATATTTACACTGCTTGTATTCGACAAACAAAACGATGTGCGTGAAACAGCTGAGTGGCGTTATAGTAAAAATTGTATAGATACATATACATAGGTAATCATTACGGTATTTTAAACTGATAAGCGTCAGAGTTGAATGACAAAATTTTATCGCTTCCAATTTCTCAGGGTTGCAAAATGTTTATACATATTTGGTCGCGTACATATATATGTATATAGGTAATAAATTGCAATAAGACGTCTCAATCTGCTGCCATTGTAGCTTCGGTTCTATTTATCATAAAAGGAAAAGCCAAATTTTAAAAATATGTGAAAAAAATTTTGTTCCCTAAAATATAACACTCGAAAAAACAATTAATATTTTATCGAATTTTTCACCTGTTTTGGTTTTGATGAAATTGCTTTTCAAACAAAATTTTGAATCAAAATTTTTAATTTTTTATGTTGGTTCATATGGCAAATAATATTATAAAGAGGAAATGCGCAAAATTTGGGAACATATGATCAATAAGTTTTTGAGTTATCGTGGCGTTCTAAAAATATGGTTTTGAGAAAAACGCGTTTAAAGTTGTATAAATCACATTATAACATTTTGAATCCCCTTAATCCCGTAGCCGATTTCCAGGCGGGCCTCAATATTAAGGTGTTTTGCGATAAGTAAGATTTTCCTGCTTAAAATTATCTCAAATCCAAAAACCACTAAAATGTATTATTGCAATAGAAGAACACGGGTAATGATTTAAGGACTAGTAAAATTTAATTTTAGACAAAATGGAGGTTTCCGAAAAAGAGTAGTTTCTTGTGAAAAAAGAGAATAGCCAATAGAGTAAGGGGACCTTAGTCCCGGTGGTATCACAATGGGCCTCTTAAAGACCTAGGTGTGTCGAAAGGCAGCCACACTACCAACCTACCTACCTTGTGAAAAATGTTTACTTTAGAGTGGCTTAAAAATCGAAACTATTATCAAAATCTTATTCCTTCTATCATTACTTGGCAAATACATGTAAGAAGGTCGTGTGAAAAATTCAAGTCGATCGGTCCAGCTGTTTCGGAGACATTTTCCCCACCGACTCTGATAACAGTGTTTCGAGAAAAACGCATTTATTGTTTCGCGAGCCGATTACACTATGTTAAAATATTCTTATGCTCACATAAATTTTAAGGTTATGTGAAAAAACTATTAGCACGAAAGTTGTAGATCTTTCTATTACCTACAACCTTGTTTTGCTGGAAATAAACTACTTTCAACCCTTAAAACCACCCTTTTCTCTTTCCGACCTCAAAACACTTTACAGCAAACCAATATAGAAATTTGTTAATAATTTATTTATATACATATGTAAATATATTTTCCATTCCGAATTCCGTTATCACAACGACATGAATATATTTGTTAATACTATATTGGTATGGTATATGGTAATGTCGGAGGTTTTATCGTGAAAAATTATCAAGAAAAGATATAAATATCGGGTTATTTTTAACATTATATACATATGTACTTATATTATATATCATGGATAAATTTCCGGTAGACAATTTTTGTTACCATTCAAGGAATTTTTTGTTAAAAGTATATCAAATATCTTGTCACAAAAATATTATGAATAAATATATTATACATTATAATATTGCTAATTCCCCAAACTTTTTACTTATTTCCAATGACACATACGATTTCATTTATATATTATATATAGAATTTATTGAAATGTTTAGTGTTTTTGTTGTGCTTTGTCATCGCTGCTTGCTGGTTCGCTGTTCTTTTCAAGGTCATTAGCGGGTGGCTTTGTTTATTTTTTTTACTTATTTGCCTTTTATCAACGATTGTTTGTGGTTTATTAGCTAAAATTCAGGGAAAAGAATGAATGTATTTATATATGGAAATAGTGTTCTTAACGGTTAGGCAAGTCAAGGTCAACGGCAGGATGGGCTCACAGCGATTAGCAAATGGAATGTTTTCGTGATTGTAAGCAAGTAGATAGAAGAGTTTATGTATTGTACCTAATTAGAATAAAAGATTAAATAGGGGTTACGTCGTATACAGTCTGCAAGAACTGATCTACGACACTTAAGTGGCTAGATCCATTTGTCAACTTAAAAAAATCAATTTTATTTTAGGATATACATATGTATATGAATGTTCATATATTATATTTAAGAATACTTTCCGAAAATTTGAGGTTAACCCGGCAAATAGTTTTGAAGATGTGAGCGTATTCGTAAGAATTATTCAACTTAATGTAATCGACTTCCAAAAATTTCTCCGATTTGTTCTTTCGGCTGGACCGATAGCTTTGAAAATTTCACACACCATATATAAGTATTTGTCAGATAATGATCGGAGAAATAAGATTTTTGATAATAATGTCGACTTTTTATAGCGAAGTGTAATTTATTCGCATAGAACGATTTTTTTTGGGAAACCGCCGTTTTGTCAAAAATCAAAGTTCTGATTAGCCACTCGATCATTAACTGTATTCATCTGTAGAAATAACATTTTTTTGGTTTTTGAATGAATGACCTTTATAAAAGTACATTTAATTTTGTACATATGTATACACTATATTTATTCAAATATTAAATGAAATGTCTCTTCAAATATATTCACAAAAACGCGTTTTTTTCTGACTTGCAAGTGGATAAAACTCTTTAAATTGGGTTTATGATGAGGTGATAAACAACAGTTTTCATAATCTAGAGAAAATTCTGTGTCAAAGTAGAATACTGGCAGGTTTAAGTTATATATAATCGCTGCTTGCTGGATAAAAAATGCAATTCGACATAAATCCTAGTAAAGACCTATTCACACTTCTTTCGGTAGTTTCAAAAGTATCTCAAAGCAAAGCAATGGAGAGAGTAATTAGGCATTACTTTTAAAATTTGAATTTTGAAAATTAAAATTTTACAGTATAGAATAAGGCACATTTGGATTTTTCTGAAATATGCGCGGATGCATAAGTAGCAGTGGTTGCTGAGCAGTTCCAAGAATAGATGGGTCTTAAAAGTGAGTAAAATCTTTTTAAATAGAAATTTGCTTGTAAAAAGTTTTTGGATAGACGAAAACAGATGAAATGGAAAGAAAAGAAAATAATGGAAACGTTTTTACTGTTTTAAGAAAAAAAAATTTATTCAAAATTTCATTAATTATATATTTTCATTCAAAGGCGGTACGCCGATTTTAGCCGCACTCCAATTTTTCATAGCATTTAGTAATAAAAGGCATATTTGCTTCAAAATAAGAGCTAGTATCGGCGATAACCTCTTCATTGTTGATGAATGCTTTCCAGCGAACATTTGATGAGGACAAGAAAAATTAGATCGGCCGAAATCTGGGGAATACCATGGAGTTGGAAGTAATTTGAAGCGAAATCGATTTTTTGATTTTAACTTAGATATCACTTTTAACAACTGGAAGGTAAAAACACTTGAAAATACCGAAGGATCTATCCAGCTAGCATTTATTGCAATAAGCGCTCAAAATTCTTTATGCAGCTGATGTGGATATCATTGATGCTTTTGAAGCTTATAAAGTTTACCAAGATGATATGTATATAGGTGATACAGAGAACGGCATCGACTAGTCTCGTTTGGATAGTTCCTTTCAAAACTTTTTTGAAGCTTTTTTAGGAGTAATCTCGCGAAGTTAGGTTACTAAGATTATACTATAGTTCAGATCAATCTTCAGTTTTCTAGCAGAGAAGTTCGACTCAAAGAGAAATGCAAGCTTTATATAATGTCATATGACAAATTAAGCTTTTTGGAATTATATCAAAGTCGTCCAAAGTAACAACAGATACAAACATAACCTTAAAACATCTGCAACAACCAGAACGGTGTTTTATTATGTTTTTGTATAATGAGTCATCAAAAGGAAGTCAACGTAGGTATATTTAAAAATAAGGTAAATCTTTTTGAAATGTGATTTTTTATTACATTTTGCAAAAAAGTACGCTTTGCGCGCAGTTCTTGCTCCAATAATTCAATACAAGAGAGCAAAACAAAGCTTACTCAAGCCAACAACTTGCTAGCGGTAATGCAAACTACAACAACCACAACAGCAATAAGCGACGAGTATGGCTTTTTGAATTGACAAAAAAACTTACATATGATAACAACAACCATAAACGACAAAACAATAACAGCAACATAAACATAAACAACAGCAACAACATAAACATTAACCAAAAAATAACAACAACAACAAATTAGTGGAACAATACAGCTGTACAAAAAGCGAATTTTTGCTTTGCAACAACGCAGTCTGTTTTGGCCGACAGTTGCTTTAGTGTTTCAGTAACACTAGCCAACATAAGTACATGCATGGATTTTCATTTGTTTGTCGCGTGAGCTTGTTACGTTTGTGTTGCAGCAACACGTTCCGGCTCGTGTGCGCGTCGGTTGTTGTGACGCAGCATGTTGGCAAGCAATTTTCAACGGCACGACAGCCCCAGCGTAACAACAACAAAAAACAAAGTGTAATACAACAATGAAGTAAAAAACAAGATAAAACGATAACAGTAATACCCTTCATAAATAAAAGTTTTGTCATACAAGAACTCGATTTTGACCAATAAGTTTGTATGGCAGCTATATGCTATTGTGGTCCGATCTAAAAAAAATTGTTCGGAGATTGTACCGCTGTCTTGGACAATAATCCATGCCAAATTAAGTAAAGATATCCCGTCAAAAAGTTTTCCTTACAAGGACTTGATTTTTATTTTTCATTTTGTATGGCAGTCATATGCAATAGTGATCCGATATTGATGGTGCCGACAAATATGCAGCTTCTTGGGGAGACAAGGACAAGTGCAAAATTTCAGATTGATATCTCAAAAACTAAGGGTATCGCGTATGTATAGAAAGACAGGCGGACATGGCTAAATCGACTTAGCTCGTCACGAATCTGATGATCATTTATATAATTTTTTTAGGTTTTCCGCATTTCCTTTTGGGTGTTACAAAGCTTGTAGCAAAATTAATATACCCTGTTCAGGGTATAAAACAAATACAAAGGCTGTCAAAGGAAAATTGCTAAAATAGAACGAAATCATTGTCGAGCGGGGCAAAATTAGGAAGGGTACATGAAGAAAACAACAAAAACAAGCCACACAACAAACACGTTTAGACAAAACAGCAGAAAAAGCAAACCGCTAAGGTGACTAACAAACAGAGTCACCAACAAACCACCAAACAAGCAACACGCGGCGGCTGAAAACCGCGACGCCTGCGCGTCGGTTAAGCGCGAGAAATAGAGACGAAAAGAGGCCAACAATACCACCGCAATGGAAGCAGGGTCTCTTAAGGCACGACAGCAACGCAAAGATGGGTGCAAAAGCGGGTGTCAGACGGCGTGTACATAGAATTGTGGGCAAATGCGCGACAATCTGTAACGAAGACAATAACGACGACAGCAACAAGTAAGTACAAACACAAAAAAATGAGTAGCAACAATAACAATAATGGAGAAAAATCAGAACAGCGTAAAAGTACAAAAGAAGGCAATGAGACCACAATGATGAAGCTGATGATTAAGATGAGGAGTGTGACGAGTAATCTACTCATGACAATTGCGATGATCATGATGCTGATGATGACGATGGTCGCAGCGCAGCAGCGTTTCAAGCACAACAACTGCAGGCAATTTTCAAGTGATTAGTCATCAACGCCGCAACTTTCTACGAGACAACGCCAACAAGAAGGCAAACAAACAAAACAAAAAAAAAACAAGTAAACAAGTCCAACAAGACTCCGCCGAGGCATACAAACACACCTCAATGCCTGAAAAGCACTAACAATTGGAAAATAAAAGCAATAAAAAAAACACAGATCCAAGAAAAATACGCGATGAGACTTTCGTAGCGACCGATCCGTCGACCTGCGGCACCGACCAATCAAAAGGTAAGCGCACAAACAGAAAGTGGCAACCAAAGTAGCACTGAAGCTCCCAAGTGCAAGAAGTGAGGTTTCAAGAAAACCTGCCGGATGGGCAAATACAGGCCGGCGTGTAGACGTGTCGACGAACGAAAGAACGAACGTTGTTAAGAAGGCTAGTCAAGTTGTAGGTATGTAGTAAGTATATATCGAGGTAAAACACATATACATATGTTGACTTGCACCTCGTTTAGGCCGGACCTGACGCTTGGCTGGCTATAGCATCATGGTCACATAGTGAGACGAGATGGTTTCGCTTCATCAATAACCGAGCAGTAAAATATTGAACTAAATAAATATAAGAGCAGTCAGTAAATAGAAAAAAGGAAAATATCAAATTCGTGGAATATAAATAGAAGACGAGTCGCAGCGCCGCGTCAGTATTTAGCAATGGAGGCAGAGCAAAAAATTACGGTTTCGTTGTGGCTGAACGGACTTTATTTTCATGAAGGCTATCGGTCTACAATAAGATTTATAGAGTCATTAAATATAGTCGGTCAGAAGAGAATCCAAGAATCCCATAAATAAAACTAAATTATGATTTTTCTCATGGAAATATGTTTGGAAGGAAGGTCCGCAATATTCGTAGAATGTAAGGGATGAGACGTCCAAAGTTTTGTATATTACTGATCCAAACAGGTCAATTCTGGTAACCTAGAGCTTGCTGACGTGGGAATTGATTTGTAGTGCTATACTCCTAATTGATATTACTTTAAGTGCTGCAAGGATGGTAAATCGCTTTAGATAGGCTTTTTGTATATGCAAGTCCACTAATCCGCTTAACTTCTAAGTGACCTGGATGTAGTAAAGTGTAGTTAGGACATAAAATCTCTCTCTGGAGGAGCGGTATATGGAATAGGAAATAAAGGTAAAAGGCAAAATCTTTTTTCTTTTCTGAATCTTTTCTCGAGTCTCTTCTAACTTCAATAGAAGCATACTGATTTGACGCCGGCTTAGTTTCCGTTCTGTCAAGAGATAGATCTCTTTGGTCAAAATTCTTGTTTTTGTAGTGAGAGACAAAGATGAGAGAACATAGCGAAGCATCCCTCCTTAATAGAGTAAAAGTTTAATCATTTCATTATACTGACCCGAGTGCTTTTAAAATTTCTGAACAGCAAGATGTTTTACCTTCACTATCAACCAAATTTTTCACGAAATGCACAAAAGTCGTTAAGCGGTGAACTGATTTCTGCCTCAAAACCATGTCAAGATCCTTGAGTAGCTTTTAACAACTTGGCTTGTTTCTAATCCATTGCAAGTAAGGTCTTCAAACAATGTATTATCGAAGTGAATAAGTAAGCAGTATTTTAAGAACCATCGTTACCAACTTAGACGACACATGGTTGAAATTGAATCGTACCGCCATATATGTCTTAACAATTATCAAATGTGTAGTATTACAAGTAGATCATAAACTTTTCAGAAATCTCCATAAACCACTACAGTAATAATACAGTGTAATATTTAATTAAAAGATTTTCTTAGAATAAGTTCCGAACCGACTATATGCAAAATTTGATCAGTATACGAAGTTGACCTTTATAACCCACAGATTTCTTTATTTAGTTTGAAGTTCGTCAGTTAAATATGTAAAGTGCCTTCTTTCTTTGCACCTAACACTACTTGCCGACGAACTTGAGCTCGCCACGAGAATAACAACTTGCCTATATGAGTTTTCTGCGTATCCGTCTATATCACCAACTCCATTTAAATTCCAAAAAAGATGCTTTCCATCGCTTCCATCTGTCCTTTCTATGCCACATTCTAGGTAATGTCTTCCTTTTTGCTTTTATTTCTGCCAACGCTCACGCTGACTGTATCTAATACTCAATATTAGCGAGTAGCTGCAAAAAGCTTCTTACAAAGTCGTTTTATTGAAGAAGCCAAGGCTTCTATGGCTACGGCCATTAGACAGCTCACCAAACTCTCTATTGCTACTTTTGTTTTTGTTTTCGCCATTTGTGTTGTTTGCATTACTTCCTGATGTTATTGTCTTGCTGGCCGACTAGGCTGAAATTTCCATTCTTTGCGCGAAATCTTTTTCATTAGTACCAAGCTTCAACATTGACGTCGTCGCGTTCTTTACGTCTCATGTCAAGTATTTATTAATTTGCTTTCAAAGCACAGAAAGCACATGATTTCTCTCATATATTTGCTTTAGCCTCTTCTGCTTCGGCTGATTCTTCGTCGGCAATTTTTTAACCTTCAGCAGGCAGATTTTTATTACTATTGCCACGATTAAGTCGTTATACCACCGATCGCTTGGTCGTTGGCGCGTTTTATTTGCTGTTCTTATTGTGTTATTTTTCAATCAACCTCAATTCTTGGTGCTGTGTTAATTTGATTAGATTCTTCATGTTGCTTCTTGACTTGAGTTTATTTGGAGTTAAGTCGCTAGTTTTTTTTTTTTTTGCGTAAATAAAATCGCGTTGTTGCTATGTGAAAAAAAAATCGGTTTTAATTTGTTAAGTCAAAGAGTATCTGCTCGTAACACAACGGGGTTGCTCATTGTGACTCAACTCTATTGTGGTTAAGAAATTGGTACATACATTTACGGACGGACTACGGCGCGGCTCCGATACATACATATAACCGGCATATTTAGGAATTGTCACAATATTATATAGTACTGGATCAGATAGCTACCTACCCCTACTTGAACCTTATATATACAACTACATGCAAAAATAACCTACTCTGCTGGCTTTAAGTGGTGGACTTAGGTCTAACATGGATAAAACGGCCGAGCCTTGATAAAACAGTCGAATCTGGATAAAAGGTTACTGGATTGCTTGTTACATGGTCCCGATATAAGGGCGGCACTCACCATTGAACAGTATGTGAAAAAATGTTGGAACAACACCACATTGTAGATACACAACTTCATGAATCTTGGGTAAGAAACAACATCGGATAAAACATACTCTTACAACAGTCTTGAGAAATAGCTGATGGTTTTTCGAGTATGAAAAGGGAATATAAAAGTTGTAGGATAGTATTATCGGCATGAAGAGCTAATAAGAGTTGTACCATTTACGAAAACATTTCGACCCTTAACTAATGTTCTACAGAATTAACAACAAAGCATTGTAGCCGACAATTGTTAATGAATGACGATAGATTTTTGTCCTTTTAGCCAAGTAAGGCCCTAAAAGAAAATCACTATGGTATTTTTCCGAGAGATGGCTTCAGAAATGTTTATCTCGCGTTGTGTCTGCGCGATCGGATTAGAGTATATGGCATTAGAAAGATAAGATTTTGTAGTACAAGAACGTCTCATACAGTTTTGTGATTGATTAATTCAGTACTGTTTGACCCCGCGTCAAATATGGGCACCCAGAGTGAGAGAATACGCTATATTTTAGAATTTTTTCTTCGATAAACATGATAACGCTAGCCAGGCGGCTGAAAGATGCACCATTCCCTGGAAGGCCAATTGTCGATAATCGAAATCAAAAATAATCCTACTGTCGATTGCCCAGGAGCTAAATATTACGCAAAAAAACGTAAGGAACCATTTTAATCAGGCTGGATACAAAAAGAAACTCGATGTATGGGTTCTACAAAAGTTTTCTCAACTAAACCTCAAGAACTGCTGAATCGCAACAAAATCGATCCATTTCTGAAGCTGATGGTGACTGGTGATAAAAAGTAGGTCACATACGACAACCGAAGCGAAAACGGTCGTGGTCAGATTGTGGTGATGTGAATATAGTAAAGTGTATATATGTATATTTAATATTCAGCATGACGAGCTGAGTCGGTTTAGCCGTCTGTCTGTATAAACGAGAATTAGTGCTAGAACTAGTGTCTAGTGTATACGTCTTTTTCTCGCCAATAATCTGTTATTAAGATCGGATCACTATAGCATACAGCTATCATACAAACTGATCTGATCTGAACTGACCGCTATAGCATGGTAGCCGTATGCTATACAAACTGATCGATCAAAATTCAATTTTTAAATTAAATTTTTTGTACATACATTTTTGTGAAGAGTGCAACCGAAGTAACATTTTTTTCTTGTTTTTACTAAAATTGTAACTTTGTACAAGACTTGGCAGAAATGCATTAGGTGAGATATTTAACGATGTGCTGTTTTGCTGATAATAAAATGAAATTTCATTTGACAAAGCATGACTCAAACAACCAACGGCTGCGGTTAACAGATACCGGAAATTACTGCATTAATTTCACAAAACACTAAACGAAAATACGTTGAAAATTAAAACCAAAACAAAAGAACAGAGTGGACAGAGGGTGCAAAAGCGTTTTTGATGTTAATATAAAATTAAATTTAAAATAAAAAAAATTAAATAAAACTAAAGATGTAAAAATAAAAATAATAATATAATTATAAAAAAAATGTATTGGTCGGTTTAAGATTTATTTTTGCATTAGTATATTTCTGTCTGTACATATGCATATATCCCCTATTGAAATTTATTGTTTTTTTTTTTGCTTTAAGAAATAATAATAAAAACTGTGACCCAAATCTGCAGAGCAAGGTGGCGAAGCGGTTAACGCCATTGAAACACCACGAGCGCACGAGGAGTGGAGTTGTCGCGTGTATTTATTTTTTTTTTGTTTTTGTTTTCGCTGTCATTTCACCGCTACTCTATACACCTATTTTGTTTAATTTCATTTTGCTTTGTGCTTTTTTTGCTTTTGTTTTGGTGTTTTCTTCTGCCGCTGCAATTTTATTCGGTTTCTGCGGTAAAGTTTTTATGTGCGATGCGCTTGCTTGCGCTTTACCTACTTGTGCTTTTTATGTATTTGATTTTTTTTTCTTTTGTTGTTTTTTTTCATACACCTTTTGTTACCCTTCATTTATTTAACAATGTTTAACGCTGAACTCTTGCAAATTGAGGTTTATGAGTTTTAAGCTGTTGAATCGTAATGTTGTTGTTGTTGCTTCTTTTTTTTTGTTAGGATTTTATCTTTACAGCCACTATTGAAGGTTAAAGCGCGACAGTTAATTGGTAGACAACGATCACCGTTAAGTATTTAATGTGCCGCTGAAGAAATGCTTAAAAGTCTGTGGTGAAAACCTGCAAATTCGAATTAAATACATGCATATGAAAGTGTGTAAATACATAGTATGCACATACATAAAACATATCGAGTTACGGTGAGGAAATCGCTTTCGAGGTGATATTGCTTGGTTAGGCTATTTATTTCATATTGATTTTTGGTAACCGAGAGCTAAATTTAGCTAGTTAAATATGTATGTACATTTGTACAATTGAGAGGCGTGTTTGCTTTAAATTTGCTGCTGAAAATGCCTATCTCAAAGCATTTTTGGATCTAAAAATGTAAGACTTGGACCTTTATGACCTGGTATGGCCATACACGATATAAGTTTGGTAATCGCCTTGTCAGCGGAACGAATTGATAAGCTCGAGATTACGTTTCTTCCAATTGAATTTTGTGTTTTGTGATCTCTCATCAATAATTCAATATTTGTTACCCATTATGGCTAAAAAGCTCTCATCAAGCTTAACAATCTAAGGATTGCCCCCGATACCAAAATAATATTTTTGTATCATCAGAAAGTAGAGTGAAAGCAGATATTTTAATTGAAAAGTAGGGTATTTTTCCGATATAAAGTCAAAATAACATGAAAAATCACAAAAAAAAAGAAATTAGGTTTATTTAATACATTTTAACATATGTTAGTTTAATTTTTAATTTCGTAAAAGAAATAAATTGTATGTAAAAAATAAAAATAAATATCTAAAAACTATCTGTTTGAGTTTTTCACATAAATTTTGAGGTTAGGCCTTGCCTTTCATTTTTTATACTCTCTTCCTTAGCTAATGAGTTTCATCGTAATTTTTTTTTTCGTTTCAAAAATTATTTAACCGGTCTATAACCTTATTTAGCATTCCAATTTTGAATTCAAAAAAAAATTACAACAAGTTCTGGAATAATAAATTTTTAATACAAATCCAAGCTCCTCTTCAAACCAGATTTTTATGCACTTAATAAATATTTTCAGTTGTAACTATATAAATACGTACATACATATGTATAATAGAGCCCTTGCAAGAATGAAGCACACTTCACGGTGCGCTTAGCAACCTTCAAAACTTCGCCATGCAAAATAAAATAAAAACAAAACCCGAACACTCAACCGTGACTTCATTACAGTTAGCCCGAATATTAAAAATTTACACAAAAACTTTAATTAACGCTACAATTTTACTATGCAAACCGAAAAAAAAATAGAACACAAATTGGTACATACACAGTCAGTTCCATTGGCTGATTTAAATTTCAACAACCAACAGGATTTCAAGAGTTTTTCTCTCACTCCCCACCATACGTAACCTGTGCCATAAAACCCGTGGCAACGTTGCAACAGCGTTGCACCTTTAATGCTTTTTATTGTTGTCATTACAGTTGTTGTATGCAGGCATTGCATGTTGCTTGCATGCTTCAACCGTTCACACACACATATACCTTAACAATGCATGTGTGCGTGTTTTCGTATTTTTTTTGTAGCTGTGTTGCTTACCTTTATAGAGTTTATTGACATTTGCATTGCTTTGCTTTACATTTTTTCCAATCGTCCAACGCTTTGCTACGTATTTCTCTGCTTTACATACGCTGCAGCTCTCGTTCGCTTTCTACAACTGCGTACACTGGACGCTAGTATTGTTTCGTACACACACACTCTCTCTCGCTCTCTCACTTGCGATTGCACATACGTGGGTTCGCTGCTGCTGCTGCGACGTTTTGCGCTGCCTACTGCGCCGCTTACGTACACTTGTGTGCGTTAAATTGTTTGTAATTACAACTTGGTTTAATTATTTTCGTTATAAAAATTGCATTATTTATTTTATGGAAATATTACTGCACATTAAATAGTAATAAATTACTAATTTTTATACTAATTCACTAAATATGTAAATACTTGCTTGTGCGTCTGCCGTGCGAATACTGTCCTTATTTCTTATTGGAACCACTCACTCACTCTCCGCTAAAACACACACATGTATGCAACGTTACTTTCCACTTTTCAATACACACTATAGCGCACTCCCTTGTACACATGCTCGACCAACTAAAGTAGCACTGATTTGCCTTTGCTACTATAGCACTTCGTTATTGTTGTTGTCGTTGTTGTTTTCGAACAAAACTTGGCGCTTGGCGGATGACACTTGATTTTTTGTTTACACTGCATTGAGAGGACACAATGAAATATGAAATAAAGAACGACCAACAATAACAACAACAACTATACATTTGTAAACGATTGTTGGACACATGAACGTATCGGTCGCTCTGGTTCTTCACTTCTTTACTTTCCACTGTTCTTAATACTTGTTTCTTTGTTTAGATTTGTTCGCCTGCGCAGTACGGGAAGGGGAAGAGATGTATGTATAAAGCAATAAAAGCAGAATATTTTAAATAACCTTCAACTACTTTTTTATTTTTGCTTTTTCGCCGCACGTTGACTGCTTGCTGCTAGCGCAATTCTTGTTTCTTTGCTTTTTTGCTTCACTACAGCACTGCGCGTAGATTTCACCATACTACCACCTAACAACACCTATTCAGGACATTTTTTTTGGGTTCTACTCGGATTGTGTGTTTTCTTATTGTTGTTGTTGCTGTGAGAGCAGAATTTCGTCTTAGCTCTTTCCTGAGAAAATATTTAATTGCACACTGATCTATCAAATTCGCAATAAATAGTTAAAAATTCCATTAGTTATCTTTTTTACGCTCTATATACCAGCATATTAACTTTAATTCTGCCAAAGGCTTATTGGTTATTTATCACCATGTCGTAGTTTTTTTTAACAAAAATGTATAATTAGATATTTCACTTATTAGCACACCTGAAATTGCTTGCACATACATATGTACGCACTTATGAACCTTTTTTTTGCAAGATTTTTTTATTTTTTATTTTTTAGTGAGAAGTAGCACACACGCTTTTTTTTATTTTAGCGAAGTATATTTAACAAACAATAACTTCAGCTGGTGCAACACAGTCAACGTCAACTGCAATTGCATACGCTGCTTGCTTGTACACCGCTATGTACCAACCACCGACTGCTGCTGCACAGCCAACGTAAATCTCGTAATAATTCACTAATTTTTGTTTTTATTTTACATTTTACAATTGCAACAAAGCGCGCACATTTTCATTCAATTATAAACTTGTAAATCCGTACACAAGTTTATTTTCTGCTACTTGCGAATTCATACAAAATGCATTTAATTTATTATTACAACGTAGGGGTGTAATAAAAAGAAGCAATTACTCAAAGGAGTACTGTAATTTTCACAACTTGCACGCAATAAATTATTTGCTTTCCTGATGTGTAAAAAAATCCACTTGCAGAAAACACCACCAACGCAAAACACAATAAACCAACTAACAACCTATTTCAGCTGTCACAAAAACAACACTGACAACACTGAACGCTAAGCAAAATTAAATACCAACAGCACAGTGTTGTATGCGGCAGGTAGTTTTCTACAATTCGCTATGTGGATGCCATTCGATGGCCACAGGTGGCGTATGTGCAGGAATAGTTATTGATATTTACAAGATGAATGTATATATTTATATATGTCATATTTAATGAAGAACAATTTAATAATGACTTTTGGTTTTGCTGAGATATACTGACAGAGAATGTTAATGAATTCATTTACGTTCTCTGGTATAAACATACACAATTTAGCAATGACATGAACCAACGGTTATTGCTAATTGGGGAACCTAAGTCCACAGTACAAATGATAAGGGCTGCCAACTTTTTTGTTGTAATAAAGTACAAACTGTAAGGAAAGAGTTGAATTCATCGTAGAACCTTGTTAGATAATAAAATATGCATGCAAAAAAATGAATATTGGCTTACTCATGTATTGTTTTCGCAAATGCTGATGGGCAATTACATATTTATTGCAAACTCATCGTATAAAAGCCAATAAACTTTAGCGACTTTGCAACCCTATGCGAACAGCTGGCCATTATTTCTCCAATAGGACCAAGTGGAGATCTTTGTGTTTAACAGAAATTCTACAGCTGGTTTATTTGCTAACTGGTGCTGGAACACACAGGCGGAAATAGTCATTTAAATTAATTTATATATAAATTTGTGTAATTATATTAAATAATAGTAAGTTCAAAAGTAGTGCAAATGCGAGAATAAAAATAAAATAAAGTATAAAGGCAAATAATAAATACAACAAAGTAATTAGTGTACGTTCAGTGCGTCGTAGGCTGTCGTGAGCAGTGAGGTGAAACATCACCAACAACAAATTAGATATAATTGGAAACTACTTGTTCGTTAGTGCATTTATGTAAAGTATTACAACAAAATAAAAAAAAAAATCCGACAACCAGTGGTAACTACACATAACCAGTGATTTAACGTAATCGTTGTAATAACAGAAAATATTACAAAGCTATCACAATGACGAATATGCGTCCACCAAACAAAACCATACTCCTAAAAGTTGTTATACTGGGCGATGGTGGCGTAGGCAAATCCTGTCTGATGAATCGCTTTGTCTCGAATCGTTACGACGAAAACAACTTTCACACAATTGGCGTTGAGTTCATGAATAAAAACATCGATGTGGATGGCGAGAAATATACATTACAGGTAAGTGGAGCAAATAACATACAATGCATGAAGGATTTCAAACGAATTGTGAAAAAAGCTTGATTAGGAACTAAGAAACTAGAACGAATATGATTTTTTTTTCTTTTTATTTATTCATATTTATGTGTGAATTATTAAATGAACACAAAGCGCATTGAACAGGAATTCCTATGGCATTGAGCGACAAATCAAAGTCAAAGGCCTATCTAAGCCGCTACTTTTTGAAATGTATACCCGAGTATGTATTTATGGATGAATGAGTATAAGTAGCTTCTATCAACTAATGGGATGGGGGGTCGTCAAAAAAAAGATATGAATGAGTGTTTAAAGCGCTATACTGCTAACTTTTGCTAAGTCAAAATTACTGTTTCTGTTTTACGTTATGATATAAGTATGTACGTTAATATGATTGTGTATCGTATGTGTATATTAATAAACCCATTTGCAAAAAGCATTGTAAACAAAGATCTATCTTTGTTTATACAATTTAAATTTAAGATAAAATTGTAAATAGAAGATACATACTTACGTTAACAATCACCGTGATAATTACACAAATTTTCAAGTGTTACAACAGTATATTCTGATTTCTGCGATTTACAGTTATGAAGCTCAATTATCTTTGAATTATATGTTGCTCTCAACTTTTCAATGCATTTTGTTTTTCACATTTTTTTGTTACAAACTAATGTTAATATTTTGCGTTGAGAAAATCTCAATTGACCGCTATCTGTTGGTCACGTAAAACGTGTAATCTTGAATACTGATATAATTCACAATAAATATATTTGGTTTAATTTTACTTAATGGATTTTCCTTAATTACTTAAGAAGCCAATTTGTATACAACCGCGCCAAACAAGTGAATACGCATACTCTCATGTGGGGGCTTTATTATTACTTGTATTATACCCTGAACAGGGTATATTAGGTTTGTCATGATGTTTGTAATACCTAGAAGGAAACAACGGAAACTATGAAGTATAAAAATATATGAAAAATCAGAGCGACGAACTGAGTCGATTTAGCCATGTCCGATTGTCTGCATATACTCGAACTAGTGCCTCAGTTTTGGAGATATCGATTTGCACACGTCCTCTCTCCAAGAAGCTGCTCATTTGTCTGAACCGTCGATATCGGGCCACAATATCATAAAGCTGCCATAAAACTGAACGAACAAAATCAAGTTCTTGAATGAAAAACTTTTTTTATTAGATAAGAAATCTTCAGGTAATTTGGAATAGATTATTCTCCCAGGCAGCGCTCCAAATCCAAACTTACCGATCAAAATCAAAAGAAATATCTCTTTATACCCTTTTATGCTTTAATAAATGCACATGTGAGGGGTATTATAGCTTAAAGCCAACTTTTTTCTTGTAATACTCTTGCAACATGTTGCTACAGAGTATAATGGTTTTGTTCACATAACGGTTGTTTGTATCACCTAAAAATAACCGAGATAGATATGGAGTTATAAATAACCGAGATAGATATGGAGATAGATATGGAGTATAATATATATAAATGATCAGGATGAAAAGACCAGTTGAAATCCGAGTGACTGTCTGTCCGTTTATCCGTCTGTGCAAATGATAATTTGAGTAAAATATAATATATCTTAATGAAACTTGGTACACGTGTTCCTTAGCAAAAAAGTGAGAACGATTAGATAGGCGCGTCCCGTCGCATCCTCTCCCCATATAAAGTTCTGTTAAAAACTACTAAAACGCGATAAAACAAAAACTAAATGCGCTAGGGACATTAAATTTTATACCTAGGATGATGCAAGAGGGTTTTAAAGAAGCCAATCTCAAATTAAAGCAATAGGCTTGGCACCACCTACATTTAGGTCAAAACCCTTGTCTGAAGACCTACTCGACCGATTTCAACCGAATTCGGCAGGTAATATTATCCTCTCCTTCCTACATTACAGTGCGAAAATGGGCTAGATCGGATAAAACCCACGCCTACTTTCCATATAACAGAATTTGAAATTACATCTGATTCTTTGACTTCGGAAAAAATCTTTTCTTGATAATATTATGCTTGTATGTCAAAAATGAATTGAATCCGATCAATACTTCCTTTAGCACCAATATAACATACCTAATAGAAAAATTTTCGAACTCCTGCTGACTTTATTCCGCAAATATTAGCCAATTTGTAAGTTATCTTAATAAAATTGAGTGAGCGTCTTTTTCTAATAATGGTGAATCTTTGCGCCTAAAATGTATAAAATCGGGTAAAAACTCGGCCTAGCCCTCATATAACTAATATAAGGATTTTTAAACATACGGTTGACTTTACTCATTACATATTGGTGATGGTAAGTGAGGTATTTTAATGAAACTCAGACAGCATCTTTTTCTGCTTAATAATATGTCCCAAAGACAAAAATAAATAACATCAGGTCAATACTACCCCTATCTCCCACATATGTATATACGTAATACGTAACCCAATTTGCAAGAGTATAAAATGTTCGGTTACATCCGAACTTAGCTCTTCCTAACTTGTTTTCATATATTTTTGTTTTATTTTTCCTTATCTGTTACAATATTTGACCTTAAAAAATTATCGATAAGGGTATGACGTCGCTAATGTAAATTATAACCCATTTTATGAATGCGCACCTTGTAGGTCCACATTTTTTTTTATGTAGGATATATTATGGTATGTATGTATTTATGAGTAAATTAATGCTACTGTCGCCGGTTTGCGTCTCTTTCCTTTGAACTGAGATTTTCGCTTGTTGCTTCTGATAGCCTTAGCGCATTAAGCATATTGACCCAAAGATGTGAAAATATTGTATTTTTGATATTAAATATGGACCTAGGTCTACGTAACGTGAATAAGTTAAAGGATTTATGCATATGTACCATATAAATATGACTAATTTTTTACCTTCTACCAAGATTTCCTTTACATATGTTAAAAAAGAAAGTTTGCACGTGACAATGTGATCGAAAATATGACTTTACGTAAACTATACCTTACATTTTCTCGTTATATACACGCTACATCTATGCTCAATGATTGGCTGAGCTTCTGTTCCTATTGTTGTTATAGTTGTTGAATTAAGACAATAGTATAAAATATTTTCCAACAGTTTTGTTGTTGCTGCTTAGATGATAGCCTTTGAACGATCATAATCTGGCACCGTTCCGGTTACGCTAATCCGATTGTGTTGTAAATGGAGATTCTCCTTCTATTTGTGATGTGAGCGTTAACGCTACGACTGCCTTTTCAGATTAAAAGACGACTCGGAGGTTTGACATTGCATATCAAGTGATGATCGATGTTAGAAAAAAACTATTTTCTATAATTTTATATCACACAATCAAAACAATCGGGCGCCTGATGTGCTTGTATGAAACTTTTTTATTTTTACAGCCGGAACAATGTGTATTAAGTATGCCGCGAAGTTTGTAACACCAACTAGAAAACGTCGATGACCCTATAAATCATATACATATATGTATAAATGGTCTGCGTGACGAGTTGAGTCGATTTAGTCCGTCTGTATGTACGCGAACTATACCCTCAGTTTTTGAGATATCGATTTCAAATTTTGCCCACGTTCTTCTCTCCCTAATAAGATGCTCATTGGTCGGAAATGCCGATATCGGAGCATTTTGGAATATAGCTATCCTACAAACTGATCGTTCAAAATTAATTGTTAGCATAGAAAACTATTTTCTTTAACGAGATATCTTCACGAAATTTGGCATGGATAACTGTTGTTGTTGTTGTAACGGTTTGGATGATAAGTAATAGTTTGGTTGTAGTCGAGGTCATCT